CAAAGCCTTAATTGTCACGTCTAGTTATGGCCCCGTTTACCTGACCCAAAGCTTGATCTTTGCAAGCTATTACTATTCCCTATGGAATTTTTCCACTTTTCATTCATTTGTTCAATGTCTGACTCTCCCCAGGGGAAATTTTATTCATTAATTTAAGATTTATGCCTGCCCCATCCTTCCCCTCCCCCTCTCCCTCTGCCACTCTGGGACCAGTCATTGTGGAGAATTGAAGCTCAAGGCCCCTCTATGCCTTTCTTGGCTGCTGTAGGTTTCTGTTTGCTTCCTTGTTTGTTTATCTGAATCAATTGAATTCTTCAATTCTGCACTTTCTTTTATCTTCATATCATTAACTACAGCTGATTGCCTCAGCTGTGTGCCTGGGTGTGTATGGGATGGGGTAGCATTTCTTTAAAAAAATTCATATTGCAAAGGAAATTATTCTCTTACAAATATTCATTGAGTTATGAACAAAGAAAAGTTGAGGAATAAAAGACTAGGATGTGATCATGATTTTAGTCATGCCCTAGTCGATTGTCCTGGGACTGGACTCTGCCAAACGTTTTCACTGGCAGTTACTATGATTCCTCTGTATTTCCTGAGGTTTCCACAACTAGCCATTTTTTTTTGGGGGGAGGGGGGATGGTAGTTAAAATAATAGTGCTTTTAAGGAATCTGAAGATTAGTGATTAAGATTGTGGCCAAGGGGTGTATTTCCTGCTATCTGTGAGAACATAGGATGTTGAATTCCCTCATAATTATTGCAAAAACAAACCCCTGTATGATTTTTTTTTCCTAGAAGATTGATAAGAAAAATTCTCACTAGACCATAGAGCCGCAGGAGCAAATGGGCTGTTATTATGTCTTAACAGAAACAAAACAGGAAACAAACCAAGAGTCTCCAACCTTCATCTCCCCTCAAAAGTCAATTTGCACAGCAGAGGGAAACATCCTGATCTGAGGGCTGGGACCAACGTTTAAAATATGGCAGTGAAGAAGTTTGCATGCAGGTCAAACTTTGGGGCTTTTCTTCTTTCCCAGATAGCATCTGGGAAATGCTCTTTACTTTTATATAGATGATTGATCAAAAGGTGTAGATCTCTTAAAGTGGATTGTGGCATAATGAAGATGCATTTACAAGTGGCTAAACGGAAGGACCCAAAGAGTAGTCATTAATGTTTTCACGTCAGCTTGGGAGAAGGTGTCTAGTGGGACTGTCCAAGAGACCTAGACTTGACCCCAGGTGATTTGACATTTTTACTAATGAATTGGATATAGGTATAGATGGCAGGCCTATCAGGTTTATACATCACACAAAACTGGAAGGGAGAGTTAACATACAGAGGAATAGTCAGAGTTCAAAAATATATCCAAAGCCTAGTGCCTTGTGCCAACTTAAATAAGGTGAAATTTTCTAAGAATAAATGTAAAGTCTTATGCTTAGTTTTAAAAGAATCTACTTCACAGATGCAGGATATAGAAGATGTGGATAATCAGTCCATCTGAACAAAATAAAGGTTGGAGAATTGTGGTGAGCGTAATACAATGCGATAGTTTGGCATGGTAGACAAGGAAATTAATTATGTTTTCATAAAGAGAGGTATGGTTTCCAGGCACGAGAAGGTGACTCCGGATTAGACCCTACCTGGAAGAATAGGAAGGACACAGATAAGCTGGGGAGTGTCCAGAAGAGGCCTGTGAAGGCAAGGGACAGCTTCAGGTTTGCAGCATGGGTACTGGTTGAAAGAACTGGGGGTGTTTAGGCTGGAAAAGAAATGACTCGGGCAGAGGTGGATGTGAGCCCTGCAAGGTAGCCAGAACATGGTGGAGTGGAGAGACAAGTGGATCCAGAGGGAGGAGGCCTGGATTGGAATCCTGATTGCTCCTTACCCCGCTGTGTGAACTGACACACATTACTTCCTGTTTCTGTGCCTTGTTTTCCCTCCTCTCTAAAATGAGAGGGTCAGAGTGGGCTCAGCTCCCTTCTGGCTCTAAAATCTTACCTTCTGAGGGCATTAAAGTAGGAGAGACTCAGAGAAAATATAACTGGTCAAGAGGTAGAATTCTCTCCTCTTCCTTCATCTGTGATTACTCTCCTAGATATCCCAGCCTCAAATCCTCCGGGCTGTTTGGAGAGCACAATTGTCAGGGAAGGGGAGTGGATAGAGGTTCACCTACCTGAATCTCCCCATTCATTCTTGTTAGGAGATAGCAGAAACAGGTGATGGAGCTCAATTCAGAATCAAAAGAGCATGAGCCCAGAGAGTGGTTGGAAATACATGAAAATCACTTATGCATGACCTTGGGTAAGTCACTTCCAGTAAGCTCTTAGGACATTAATTTCTTTGTGAAATTATGGAGTTGGATAAAGTGATCTTTAGGTCCCATTTTATGGTTCTCTGGCCTAAGAAGGCATGTGAGAAGCTGTGATTTGCTTTAGTAGCAATACCCTGGCTGAAATACTGCGGCTTTGAAAGAAGAAACGAGGTGTAGGTGATAGAGAGTTGGACATGCAATCAGAAAAGCTTGGGTTTGAATCCTGATGAAATATGACCCTAGACAAGGTTGCTAACTTCCTCATTTGTGAAGTGAATAGAAAGGGGCCAGACTTGATTCCTAAGATTCCTCTAGCTTTAATTATACGATCTCCTGAAATTCCCAGAGCATTGGAATCGTGCATCTTTGGAAGGACTGGAATGGAAAAAAAAATAGGCTTTAAATTGAATTATTATGTTTTCTTGAAATAAATAGAATGCGTTACTTCCCTGGAAAAGCGAGTGAGGGAGAAGTTCTCACATCTTGATTCCCTGAAGGATATCACTCTTTCTATGGTCATCTCCACATAGCCACAATACCTAGGTCGGCCAGTCAATCAATGGGTGCCAGTAATACTTAGGTTACTATGGAAGTTGGAAGGTAATTTATCCAGATGAGATGTCCACACTCTTCAAGTTCCTCAAGTAATTACCAATATCTCTGTTCACTTTGTATTATGTAGTGTTGTGTAGAACTGAAATTAATTTTGTTTAATCAATTAACATTTATTAAATGCCTACTATGTGTCATGTACTGTACTAAGAACTAGGGATAAAAAAAAAAAGAGGCAAAAGAGTCTCTGCCCTAAAGTAGCTCGCAATCTAATGGGGGAAACAAAGAAACAAATACATATATACAAATAAGTTATATACAGAACCAAAAGGAAGTAAATAACAAAGGGAAGGCACTAGAATCAAGAGGAGTGGGGAAAGGCTGTCTATAGAAGATGTGATTTAAATTGGGTCTTAAAGGAAAGCAGAGAGACCAGCAGGTCGAGATGAGGAGGGAGAGTGTTCCAGGCATGGGACATCACCAGAGAAAATCCCAGAGCTGAGAGATGGAGCTTCTTCAATGTGGAATAGCCAGGAGGCCAGTGTCACTGGACTGAAGGGTATGTGTTGGGGAGTAAAGTGTAAGAACAGTGGAAAGGTGGGAGGGGCTACAGGGGTGGGGAGCCTGCGGCCGTGAGACCACATGTGGCCCTCTAGGTCCTCAAGTGCAGCCCTTTGACTGAATCCAAACTTCCCAGAACAAATGTTCTGTAAAACGTGGAATCAGTCAAAACGCTGTACCCGAGGAACTGGAAAGCCACATGTGGCCTGGAGGCCCCAGGTCCCACACCCCTGGCTAGGCTATGAAGGGCTTAGAGTTCCAAGCAGAGGGTTTTGCATTTGATCCTGGAGATGATAGGGAACCAGTAGAAGTAATTGAATAGGGCAGTGACATGGTCAGATGAGGGCTTAGGAAAATCGCTCTGGTGGCCAAATGGAGGATGAATTGGAGAGTGGAGCGGTGAGGCAGGCAGACTCACCAGCAGGATACAATTCCATGTGTAGGCATAGCTTCTAATTTTTAAGGCTAAAGACATATTGACAGTGCTGCATGCAGGAGGGAGCTGCCCTTTCCACAGCACTCAAACTTTACCAAGAAGTACTCAAGTGCAGCTGAGCTATAACTGGGACTCCCAGCAACCAGAGCTCATTCGTTTCGAGGGAAGCGGTCTCTTTCACAGACTCCACGGGAGCGTCCAGGCCATTTCCCTTCCTTTGCACATTTAATCTGTAAATATTGTAATTGTAAACATTTGTAAATATATTGTGAATTGTAAATACTTGTAAATATCCTCTCCCTTGAGAGAATGTGAGTTTGTTTAGGGCAAAAAACCCAAAGCAAAGCAAAACAAAAACCTGCCACTTTTGTCTTTGTATGCCCAACCCCCGTCCTAGTGACAGGCATTTAGCAGGTGTTTAATTAATGCTTTTTGGTTGTTGACTCATTCATTGATACCTTGCCCTTGGATACCACCAGTGTCCCTAGACCCCTTTCTACTCCAAAGTCTAGCTTCTCAGCAATGAGCCAAGGCTAATGGGTGACTGTGAGCAAAGCCCCAGCCACTCCATCTTAGCTATCCTTCTGCCCTACAGTATTCTATGCTGGTAATATGTCTTATTTCTTCTTTCATATTCACTAAAACATGTTGCTAGTAGTTCCATGAGCAATAAGCTATATACATGATTGTAATTTAGTTGCTCTATTTATAGAATTTTATTTTCAAACAGATCTGTATGCAACATCTGGCTACATATGTATAATATGTGAAGAGCCTAGCTTTTACCTAGTTAGACATGGCAGGTAAGAGATAAATGATATATATTTTTAAAAGATACCTCAATATTCATTTGATTTTTAATCTGTTTACTCCCTCTACTGGTTGCTCTCTGGCATGATGTCATTGTAATCATGCAGTGCTTAAGACAGAACTATTTCCTTCCCTAAACCCACTTCAAATTCTATTCAACATTAATATTTCTAATTGACACCATATTTGCTCCCACTTGGCAAGTTGAAGAACTCCCTGTTAAGAACCTCATTGACTGTGCTATTAAGGAAGCTTTCCTTGGAGATTTCTTTTTGGAAATAATTTTATTGGAGGAGAAACACGATGTTTCATTCATAAAATTCGTGCATTCAGTCTTAGTAGACCCTTGTGTGGAAGCAAGTCTTAGCTGCTTAGTAGATAGACTTTAAAGCTGCAATGGACAAAAAAAAGTAAAATAAAACCTTTCTCTTGAGCCAGATCCTGAGCGATAAGCCTTACTGTGCTTAATCCCATGTTGTGTTGTTACAGGATCACAGGTTGGGGCTGTAAGGGATGAGTGAATCGATTACATTTTCTTCATTGTGTGTGAGGATGGCAGAATATCTTGACTCTCCCATCTGTAGAGGGTTTTGGAAGGATGTCCTCATAAGCTTTCTTCAAGATTGTGATGTATTTTCTTCATAGTGGCTGCGGCACGGTGCCCAGCCATGCTGCGGAAGAAGCTCTCTGCCTCTGTCTGCAAGTTACAAGTGAGTGACTATATCAGGGAAGGATAAGCAGAGAATCAGACTCCTCTTCAGGTCTGGCTCCCTTATTGGTGAGGGGGTGGGATGAGGTGGACAGCCATCCTGTCCTTGATTTGTATACTAAGGGAATTCTTCATATCCCAGTTCTAGAGCTGGGGGAAACCTCAGAGGCCATATGGTGCCAAGCCGTCATTTTCCAGATTAGGAAGAGGAGGCCCAGGGAGGTAAAGGGACTTGCCCAAGGTCATGCAGGTAATTGTCAATGGTAAATAAACATTTATTAAGCCTGCCTGCTATGTGCTAGGCACTATGCTAAGCACAGGAGATAGAGATAAAAGAAAGATAATTCCTGTCTCCAAGGAACTGACAATTTTATTGGGGAAGACAATGCACAAAAGGAGGTTGGGGAAGGGGAAAGGGTCAGGGAACTGTTCAGTCTAAACCAAGTAGATCAGCTGATGGCCAGTAACGTTAGCTGGAAAAGTCTGAGCCCCCTAGAAAGGGAGACCCTGGGAAGAGTTCAGTGCTCCTCACAGTTGAAGAGCTGTTGAGTATCAAAGCTGAAACAGTCTCCGTGAAGATGAGGTTTCAGCTGGGGAACTTTGTCCTGGGGGAGAAACGATGTTCAATGGAGACAAAACCAAGAGGAACAGCTGATAGGGAATGTATAAGAAGAGTCGGGGCAGCTAGGTGGGAAGCGTAACAATGGACATGGATGGAGGACTTCCAGATTTGAAAAATGCTTTACATACATTATCTCGCTTCATAAGAGCCTAGATCTTGAGGTGGGAGGGACCTCAGAGGCCAAAGGGTTCAATTTCTCTGTTTCACAGATGAGAAAACTGAGGCTTAGCATGGTGATGTGACATGTGCCAGGTCACACATGTGACATTGTGAGGCAACATTTGAACCCAAGTCCTCTGATCCTGGATCCAAGGATTTTTACACTAGATTACAGTCCCTAAATTATTGAGACAAAGCAACCCTGTGAGTCTAAGCTACAGATTTTATCCCTTTTTTAAGAAAGAGGCTATTCATAGCTGTCAGAGATGACTTGTAGGCCCAGCTGTTTCTTGTGGCTATAATTCAATGAACCATAGTGATAATTACTATTTATCAGGGAAGGAAGGGGGGGAGGAAGGGAAAGAAAGAAAGGAAGGAAGGAAGGAAGGAAGGAAGGAAGGAAGGAAGGAAGGAAGGAAGGAAGGAAGGAAGGAAGGAAGGAAGGAAGGAAGGAAGGAAAGAAGTAAGGAAGGAAAGAAGAAAGGGAAAGAAAGAGAAAGAAAAAGAATGAAAGAAAGAAAAAGAAAGAAAGGAAGGAAGGAAGGGAAAGAAAGAAAGAGAAAAAGAACAAAGAAAGAAAAGATGAAGAGATGGAAAAGAAGGAGAGAAAGGAAGAAGGAAGGAAAGAAAGGATGGAAAGAGGTAAACAAGCATTTATTCAGTGTCTACTCTGTTCCAGGCACTTTACAAAAGGTTTTAAAAATACATGTGTTTTCACATTTGCTGCTCTCAGCAGCCCTTTGAGAGTGGAGGCTCCAAGGATTATGTCCCTGATTTTTAACAGCCATCTTTCATTTGGGGCTATACAAATATCAGAGATGCTTAGTGTTCAGATGAAGAAACTGAGGTCAGAAAAGGGTCCCACAGCCCATGTCAGAGGAGAAATCCCTCCTGAGATCATTCCTGCTGCTCTCCCCATCACACTGCAAGTGGGTAACATTGTTGGCAAAAGGGTAGTTTTTATGTTTTGTTGTTTCATAGAGTGATTTCCATTTTGTAATGTTTATAAGAATTATATTATTTGGAGACTCCAGACCTTAGCCATGAACTTGAGTGGATTATTTCTTTTCAGCGATTCAGTGCCTTCTGATGACTGGCTGGTTCAAACACTTGGACTGAAATCCACTCACAATTCAGACATTTTGTCCATCGAAAGTGGCCTCTTTGCCATCCCTCATGCATGATGCTCCGTCTCCTGTCTTCATGCCTTGCCTTGGCTCACCTTCATGCCTGGAATATCTCCCTCCCATCCCTCCTCACCTCTGCCTCTTGGAATCTCTGGATTCTTTACAGAATCAGCTCTCACACAACCTTCTACATGAGCCTCTCATGTTTTTCCAGCTGCTTGTATTGTTCCCTAAATTCTATTTCACTTACTTTGTATTTATCTTGTATCTCCTTATATGTAGACACATTGTTCCCTGCAGTAGAATGGATGTGCCGTGAAGGCAGGCATAGCTTCAGTTTGGACTTGGAATCTCTTCATCTGTCCTATTCCCTTGTAAATGTTTCACTGGACATTTCTTCTTTGAAAGCATTCCGAACTAGAAATGCAACGACCTGGGACCAAGTCACCAATCTACCACTAACTTCCTGTATGAGCTGAGACAATCATTTCTCTGAGAATATTTTTTTTCAACTGTAAAATGGTAATAAAGGTACCTCCACTAACTACTTTCTAATGAAATAATGTAATGAGATCACTTTCAAATGTAAAGTACAAACTAAAATCATCATTATTATCATTTTTCTGATTGAAAGTAATTGAATCTATAGTATCCTCTGGCTACTTTAGGGCTTTTAAAATTGATTATTCAAATTAATAATGCAAGTAAGTCCTTTTCAAATTAATAATGCAGAAAAACCCATAGCCCTCTGAATTACTTCCTCAGGAGACCAAGCCATTTTACTATCATTTACATGATATCACACACAATTGTATAATTTACTTAAAAGAGAATGTGTAAAATGAGGAAAATGTATTAAAAATAAAAGCTTAGGACTGCAGTGAAGACAGCTAGGGAGATAGCTAGTAGATAGAGCATTGCTCCTGGAGTTAGGAAGACTCTTCTTCCTGTGTTCAAATCTAGCCCCACTTAGTAGCTATGTGACCCTGGGCAAGTCACTTAACCCTATTTGCCTTAGTTTCCTCATCTGTAAATGAACTGGAGAAGAAAATGGCAAACCACTCCAGTATCTTTTCCATGAAAACCCCAAATGGGGTCATGAAAAGATGGATGAGACTGAAAAACAACAACAAAGGAACTCCGTTAATTATCCTACTCACTCATTCTTACCTTTGTTAGGTAAGAATACTTCTTGCCTGACTTCATTAATCTAAGCCAGTGTGGTCAGGTTCTAGACACTGCCTTGAGCTATTTAAAACAGTTTTGTTAGAGACCTGGTCAAGCTGTAAGGGAATTTGTCTTAAAGGGAGGAGCTATTTCAGGGCCAGAGATAGAGATTGAGAGTGTCTGGTTCGAGAGCTTGGAGAAACTGTCACCTTCCACTCTTTCCAGTACTCCTAGGGAAAAGATAGAACTAACCTGTGCGGTAGAAGGAGCATACTGAGGAGGGTTGGGCTCTGCAGGCCTCTTGGAGCAGGACACCCAGAGTGAGGGAGGCCCCAAGCAAAGGTCTGCTCTTCTGCCCCTCCCTGGGTCTGTCTGTCCTCAGTCACTATAATATCATTTGCTATTTTTTTTACTCAAATGTCATTTTACTCAAACTGCATTTTGTCTTAACAACCAAGAGTCCAGGGATTAACTAGAGATAGATATAAAAGTAAAGTTAGACAGAGAGCCCAGACACCACCTAAATACTAGGAGATTTCTGAACTGGGGGTGCAGAGTGTTTTTGAGTTGAACACCTAACATTTCATCTAAAATAAGCTCCCTAAAGGTATAGAAGAGTGAACCATATGGACTTTAAGGGACACTATGTAACCCACAAGGCTTCCATGAACTAATCATTGTAATTGGATGTTAGACCAGCAAACACTCTCATAGTTCCCAGCTAAAGCCAAACTACCAAGGGCCTCACCCCCATCAAGACTTGTGGGGTTGGGACTGGAGAGGATCCTTCAGGAGTAAGATTTCTCTCCTAATTATTGGACACTCTGGCTAACACTTGACCTGGCAAACTACCGATTGGCTTGGCAGCTATTTAAACTGTTTGCCAAAGAGCAGAGACTTAATCTAGCCTCTGTCCACTTTTTGGTTTAATATTTTGATAACCTTATGGCTCCCTATCACCTCCAGGATCAAACATAAAAATCCTCTGGTGTTCAAAGCATTTCATCACCTCCCTGCCACTCTCCCCAACAAACCTATCAAGGCTTCTTACACCTTACATATCTCCCACCTGTTCTGTGATCAGTGACACCTGCCTTCTTGTTGCTCTTTGAACCAGACCCTCCATCTCCCACCTTGGGGCATTTTCACTGGCTGTCCTATGCCTTGAATGCCTGTTCTCCTCCTATATCCCTCCTGGCTTCCCTGACTTCTTTCAAGTACTAGCTAAAAATCCCGCCTTCTACAGAAAGCTTTTCCCAACCTCTCTTAATTCTGGTGCCTTCTCTCCACTGATTATTTCCAATTTATCCCTTCTATAATTTGTTTGTACATTTTTGTCTGCGTATCATCTCCCCATTAAATTGTGAGCTTCTTGAAAACGTGCTCTGACTTTTATCTTTCTTTATATCAATGTTTAACAAAAGGTGTGGCATATAGTGGACACATACTATTTGTTTGTATAATAATAATAACCAGCATTCATATAGCACCTTCTTTGTGCCAAGTACGGGACTAAGCACTTTATAGTATCTCATTTGACCCTAACAACAACTGCGGGAGGTAGGTGCTGTTATTATCTCCATTTTACAGTTGAAAAAACTTGCAAATAGAGATAAAGTGACTTCTCTAAGGTCACTGAGCTAGTAAGTGTCTGAGGCTGGGTTTGAACTCGTCTTCCTGACTCCAGGACCAGCTCTCTATCCACTGTGCCACCTAGCTGCCTAAACGACCAACTGTTGGTTCACAAGCTAGTGTCCTGCCTACTTGTAGTCAGTGTTGCCTGTTCTTTTCCTGACTCCACTTGCTTTACTCTTAATAAGATTGTGCAATTCTTTCCCTGATCCTTGTTCTCATTACATTTGTCATTTCTTATAGCTCAGTAATATTCCAGCAACAGACATTCTTCATCCACTTGCTCTGTCCTCTGGGAAATAGGTTGAAGTCTTTTGAAGGCTCGCCAATTTTGCAGCATTCTAACATTTGATGCACCCAGCGCAATGCCATCTGCAGGCATTCCTGGGCTTCTAAAAGTTGCTTCACTCTGCAGAGACCTCTCTGATGAATATAGCAACAAGGCAAAGACTGGACATTTCATCTGCGAGAGAATTTCCAATGTGGCAGCTCCCTCTGTTGACTTGCAACCCATCCATTGTGAAGCCTCAATGGTGCCTGAAACCTGCAGTGTGGACTGAGATACACATTGATGTGGCACAGGGATTGGTTTGTTTGGCTAAAGTCAGCTTCTGTGTTTTCAAAGAAGGTCCTGGGGGAACCATTGGGAAGTAACAGCAGTATTTGTAAAAAGCATCGATGAATCTTTATTTGTTTTTAAAAGAGAGAGAGAGAGAGAGAGAGAGAGAGAGAGAGAGAGAGAGAGAGAGAGAGAGAGAGAGAGAGAGACAGACAGACAGAGAGAGACAGACAGACAGAGAGAGACAGAGAGGCAGAGACAGAGGGGGGGAGAGGGAGAGAGGGAGAGAGAAGAGGGGGAGAGAGAGAGAATCTTCCAAAGGTTGGCACAGTTTAAATGACTTGCTTAACTTTAGGCCACAAAGAATTTCAAAACTTTCATTCCCTTTAGATGCAAGATTTGTGTTTTGTCTCCCAAGGTAATTTCCACCTTCTTTTCAGGAAAGATGAGAAAAGTTTCATCATAATTATAAAATTTCTTCAAAATAGCAACGGGAACAATTTGAAAGCTTTGACCTAGTCCAACCTCCTCACCTGAAAAAGTATGAAACTGCGGACAAGGGAATCCATAAGTCAGTGCCAGAGCCACTCACAGATTGTCTAGCTCCCAGTGTGCTCCCTGAAACAAACCAACCTTGATAAATAATTAATATGTAGTATTAGTGAATAGCAAATTAATCATTGTAATTATGGGCATTGGGCAAATGATTAATGTATTACGTAGAATAAAACCCTCCTCTCTTCCCTTCATATTATGATTTTAAATGAGTTTATAGAATCTTCTTGCATGTTTTATCTCTAGTGTCTTCTAAGATAGCTGAATGGGGGTAAAAAGAGTCTTTCAAGTACTTTGCCTTTCCTTTGAAAACTTATTTATTGATGTCTTTTGTATTCTTCATCATATTCATCACTCTATATTGACCTCTTCCTCTGCCCCTACAACCAATAAGTTCTCCCTTGTAATAAAGAAAAACAGAGAGGCAAAACCAACGGACACAGGGCCTGTGTTTGACATGATATCCAGTCTTACTCTATCCCTGCCTCAGCCTCCATCTGAAGGCAAAGAGGGATGGATATCCATTCCTTCCTCTCTCCTCTAAGGCCAACACCGCTCATGGTAATTACCACGGTCAGCTGTATTTTATTGTAATGGTAAGCATTATACATAATGTCTTTAATGTTTTCCTGGTTCTAATTGCTTCACTCTTCATCACTTCACGCATATCTTCCCGTGCTTCCCTAAAAGCTTTTTGTCTGTAATATTGTATTACACTCATATTCCAAGACTTTTTCAGCCCAGTAGATGGGTAGCCACTTTGTATGGTTTTTTTTCCTGCTATGAAAATTGCTGCTGTGAATATGTTGGTATATATTGTGGGATCTTTTCTTTCTGTCCTTCACCTCCTTGGTAAGCAGTTAAATCTTTGGGTCAAAGAGTATGACCAGTTTGTTAACTTGACTTGAATAATTCCAAATTGTTTTCCAGGACCATTGGGCCGATATGTAGCTGCACTGAGAGTGTATTCATGTGTCTGCTGTGCTCAGATCCTTGACCATTTTTATTTGTTGGTGCTCTTTGGCAATTTGCTGAGTACGAGATGAAACCTCAAATTTGTTTTAATATGCATTTCTATTAGTGTTATTATTATGTGATTTAGAAAACTCGGAGCATTGTGGATACTAGCACTTTTCTGAAAGTTTTTTGTTCAGATCTTGTCCTTTAGGGAATGGCTCCTCGTCTTACCTGCTTATGTTAGTTCCCTATAAGAATTTTATGTGCTATTTGATGCACAGGTTTTTCTCCCCCAGCATGAAGTTCCTATTCTTATCCTGGCTACATTGATTTTGTTTATGCAAAATGTTCTTTAACAGTTTATAAAGTTGACTCATCTTTTTTTATTTCTTTTAGAATTTCCTAGATCTTTTCTCATTGTTTGGTGAAGAATTACCCCATTAGCAAGACTGTGAAAAGTACCTTCTTCCATTCACTCACACACACATAATGTATGTGTGTACACTTGCATATTTACATATATACCCATGTATTGTATATATATGACATATATACCATACATTAAAAATGCATGTACACACAGAAATATGTATTTAAATAGTATATATTTTATATTGAGGTCTCATGTACATCAGGAACTTTAAGGGCCATAAAGTGTCAGATGTTCAGCTAGTGATATCTTCTTCCAAGCTGATTTCCACTTTTTTTTTTGATAGTAAGACCTTCCCCAAGAGTTTATGTTCTTGTACTTACTGAATACTGGCCTTCTGATTTCTTTCTGATTCTTGCTTATCTATTCTGTTCCACCCATAGTTCTACCCTGCTGATTCTCATATGAATGAAGTTTATGGTAATCAAAATGTCTGCTGACTTCCTTTTATAGGGCAAAGTGTTCCAGAAAATAGAACTGATGTCTTTGATGTTAAAAACTTCCTTTGGGTCTGGGTTGTGCACATGTAGGAAATGAAATCATTTTGATGCATAACTTGTTCTCCTTAATCCTCAGAAGCTCTTGGTTAAAGGGTCCCCAAACCAATATTTTCTGTTATATGTTATGATAAATTGTTTTTCAAGAAAATGTCATAGCCTGTGGGCTAGAATATTACCAAAGGACCCTTGAGGAAGAAGAAGAAGAAAAGGTCCCCTACATGTACAGTGCAATCTGCATTCCTGCTGCCGAGGAATATGCAGAGTGATTTAAGCCTTTCCTCTTGATGGCAGACAACAACATGAAAAATGGGAATGGGCTGGCCGTAGACGACTCAGCAGCACATTAAAGCTTTTACCCAGGCCCTCTGCCTTCTAGAGTTGAACTGGGGGCTCTGAACATGGAAACCACACAGGGTTCATGGTAATTGACATCATATGTTTCTTATCAAAGCTTCCTAAAAAAAAAACAACAACAGCTTGGGGGAAAATGCAGAAATGTGTGTCTTGACCACAGTCTACCAATGGGCGGAAGCCTCCAGCTAATTTGTTGACTTCATTACTGAAGGCACCGGAAGGTTAAGAAGGGCGATAATCGGGTTTTCGCTGATTGCTGATCACTGTGGAAAGCAGGCGGCGTGATGCGAAAGGAAACCTGTGACCTTAAGGCAGGGGCAGGATGGGGAGTTGAGGCAATTATCCACATAATTCCTGATTCCGGCAGCATTGCTCTTTATAATGATTAAATTATGTGGATCGTTGTGCCACTTCATTCCGTCTGTCTAGATGTTGCTTGAATTGTACATCTGAGCTCTAATTGTATCCTTTATCTGGATAGGGTGTGTTCTAGTCATCTTTAAAAATCAAATTTAGAAGAAAAATGAACAATTCACTATCACGTATCTATTAAAAAAAACACATGGCACATGATCCCAATCATTAATGGTATGTTGGACAGACACGGAACCAAGACTTGTGGTCAAATAAGCGGCAAATACATGAGCACAGAAAGAGAACAGCGAGAGGGAAAAGATGGCAAGATGCAGCCTCATTGAACCCTCAGGTTATGGTCCAGTTTCAAGTCCACATGGAAAACATGAAACCTTTAAATTCCAAGGGATAACTCAATGAAACTGCAAACATTTTCATTCTGACCATTCTTGCTTTCATTATGCCCTTCCTTTGCTTCAGAGTTTTCAGTGGCTCCCTTATAGGCTTATAGCAAATCTGAATTCTGCAAGGCTTTCAACGTTCTATGATCTGACTTTTGTCCCATTTTTTCTAAACTTATTTCTCACTGCCCCCTAATATTCATTCCCAGAGAGGGAAGCCTGGCTCTTTCTTGTTCTCTGAGTTCATTACCACATCCTTGCCAGTTTTTTCAGGCTGGCTTTCTAAGCTCTAATGCATTTATTTCCCTTCACTTATCCAAATTCAACTTGTGATAAGAAGTTCAATACTGCCTTTTCCATGAAGCCTTCCCTGAATACCTAACTTCATTCAGCAGGTCTCCTACCTTACTACTAGTATAAGCCACATATTGTTTTCAGCCCACTGTCAACTGAGATCAACAAATGAACGAGGTAAGATCATAACATTTAGAGCCCGAAGGGACCCTGGAATTTGCCTTGTTTTTCAGATGAAGGAACTGAGGTCCAGAGAGAAAATACCTTGGTCAAGGTCACACAGAGAGTAAGTGACAGAGCTGGGAATAGAAACCAGGTCCTCTGAAACCAAATTTAGTGTTTGTTTCACTCCACAGTGTAGACAGAGCATTACATGGACACAGCATTACATGGACAGAGCATTACCTCTCCAAATAGAACAGGTGAGTCTTTGCAAGGATATGATCAAGGAATATGGTGTACACATCACAGAATCAGTGGTCCTTTACTGAGACCACCTCATTTCATTCCCATAGCAAAAAGATTACAGTGCCAGAATTGGGTGTCGTCAAAGAGACATCGAGCAGTGCCCATACCTGAGCAACAATCCCCTTCTGCAGTATACCCAAGTCTCATTCAGACTTTGCTCCCTCTCGAATAAGAGGGAAATTGCTGTATCCTTAGGTAGCCCATTCCAATTTGAGAAAGCTCCAATCGTTTGGAAGCCTTTGCTTACACCAAAGAGCTGATGCCTTCCTCTTTACCACTTATGCTCAAGAAGACAGGCAAGAAATGAAGTTCTGACAGTTAATTTTGCTCATACAAGCTAGTTAATCGGGTTAAATCATGTGTCTCATCCACCACAAATTGGGTCTTCAAAGTTGAGTAATGTGTCTGCTACTTGCACAAGCACCTGGTCATATTTTTAAACAGTAACATTGCAACTGATCATTTGAAAACAAATTTACTTACCCAGTTATACCTTTGAACAATAATTTTAAAAACCTCATTATCTCTCTTAAAAAAATCATATTGGAGGTGGCTAGATGGCACAGTAGATAGCTTACCAGCCTTGGATTCAGGAAGATCTGAGTTCAAATCTCACCTCAGACACTTGCCACTTACTAACTGTGTGACCCCGGGCAAGTCACTTCACCCTATTGTTTCACAAAAAAAAAAAAGAAAAAGAAAAAGAAAAACATTCGCATTGGTCCTATTTTGATATTCTGGAACTGAGTGAAAGAAGCTTCATCCCTCTGTCTCATAATGTAGCACTTGGTTAAATACTATCCTGTATTGTTGTGTATTGTTCTAGGTGTACTGATCTTGATTCTCCAACTGGTTTGCAAACTTCCTGAGGCCATGAGACTTCCTGAGTCTGTGCCTGGCACATAGTAGGTGCTTAATAGATAATGATTGATCAGCCCATTAGAGCATTCTCTCCTTGGGATGTCTGTGACTTGCTTCTGGAGCCTTAGTGCCTAACACAGGGTTAGTAGGTACACATATATTGTAGTGCTTAATAAATGCTTGGTAATTGATGGATCAAGCTGTCAGTTCACTTGCTTTAGACACCATTTGTATCTTCTAGTTTCCCAATCTCCATACTTCCTCATTTCATTTCTTCTTTATGGTCATAAACCACAGCATTGATATCCATAACTCCTTCATTTACTTAGTAGTTTAAAATAACGTCTTGGCCATTTCACTGAAGGGAAAAAGAATACTAGCTTACCATAGCTGCTTGGCAAGAAAACCTAATCATGAGGGCTTCCCTGCACCCAGGCGTCTGGGAAAATGTAATGCTTCCCTTCTCAGGCCCATGTGCTATGTGTGGAAGGTTGTATAATAGATAGTTATAGAATAATTGATCAAATCAGGAAATGAACATTTTGTTAAGTATATGATAATTTACATAATAATAGAACATTTTCTAGAGGCATAGATATTTCATTCCTTCACTAGGATTTTACAGACAAAAAAATAGTTGGAAAGAGTAGGATAATAATATCTAATAGAAATAAATGATAGCAAAGCCAGATGAAGATAATACAAGTATTGTCTGTGTGATAAGTTTATTGTCTGATAATGGCAAAATGGGCTTTGAAGACAAGAAAAGTAGGCAAAAATGTGACTGGAATGTGTCAGACGTGGACTTTTTGAATGTACTGCATTGATGATCAAACTTGGAAACATTCCAGGAATATTGAGAATAACATTTCCACCTGACTTACACAGAAGAACCGGAAATTCTCGGGTGAGTTTAAATCATGGTGATCAGCTTTGTGGAAAGAACTAATTCCTTCTTTTAGCCCAGAATTATTCTCATGACCATAACAATGGAGATTAAAGCACAGAGTTCAGATCTTCCCATCCCACTCCACACCTAGAAAAGTCAATGGCTTAAAACTTCCCTGGGGCAACTTTTTTCAGGTTCCTGGCCATGGCTTATTTACATTTATGCTCCCTAAAGGACAGTGAAACCAGCTATGGGAGGAACTTCACAAATATTTGATACAGATTTAGGTTAGATATGAGAGAAAACTTGCTTGCAATGATAGTTGCTCCAAAGGGACATGAGATACCCTTGGAGGCAATTAGATCTCCTTCACTTGGAGGGCTTCAAAGGAAGGCTGGGTGTCCAGGGGCTTTGTCTTCAGATAAGAGTTAGACTAAAGGGGCTCCATTCCAGATATGAGATTCTCAGGTGCTTGTGAATTAATCAAAATTAAAGAAAACATTTAGTTAGTGCTGGCTTTGTGCTAAGTATCATGCTAAGTGTTGGAACCAAATATAAGCACAACTTTTGAATACATCATGTTGACTGTCATAAATACCTAAATTAACTACAAAGGACATATGAAGGAAGACACTATCTGCATCCAGAGAAAGAACTGATTAATAGAAGTATGTATAGAATAATTATATGTGTGTGTGTGTGTACATTGCACCTAATGAGAATGATGTGTGTGTGTGTTTGTGTATATACACGCACACATTGTGTCTAATAGTAGCCATCTCTAGGCTGGGGGGGAGGGAAGAAAAAAAGGAAAAAATATTTACATGATAACTTTATTATGTATTTAAAAGGAATGGCAAGTTATACATAGTATTTTTGCAATTTCACGAGCAATCATCTTTTTTTTTGTCATGCTTTGTTATAGAAATGCTGGTTTTATTCCATAAATTAAAAATAAAATAAATAAAAAACTGGCCTTTACCCTGAAGGAGTTTGTTTTAGTAGAGGTAGATAGTACCTATAAGGAAGGATGGTTATAGCATTGCACTTTATGGATTTATGGTTTATAGATTACAGATACTGTCTTTGTAGAATAAAATCCTGTTGGAGCTAATATGAACTTTAGAGTACCTCCCATTGAATCCTCTCCTGACATGGATTAAACATTTTTGGGGTTCCAGGTTGCAGCTGATGGCCATTTGTGCATAATAGGCAGAAAGGAAAAGGGAGGAAAGAAAAGATGAGGCAAATTCAGGGAAGCCCGGGCTGAGCTGTGTTGATTCTATTATGATTTCAGAGCTGGAAAGGGGGTGGGGGAGAAGGTCCCTGTGTAGCTGCAGGCAATCAGATGGGAGGACCTGATAATTGGCAATCATGTGTCAATCTCCCCTTTGGCTCTAGTCACAGTCCTTGCAACTTTGCGTAATGAAACACTCCTCCCTGGCTACTACTGCCCTATATGTATTGTTTCCCATCTGGAAATTTTAAGCTTCTTGTAGACAGGGACTATCTTTCTTCTTTGTATTTTTGTCCCCAGTGCTTACCATAGTACTTGGCATATAGTAAGTGCTTAATAAATACTTTTTCATTCCTTCCTAGAAGGTACCATCAAGAACTGAACATATTAATCTAGATACATCTGACCAGGGCAGATAGAGAACAACAGGATCATTATTGCTTTGTTCTGGGACCCTGGGACATTCCTAATACCACCTAAGATCACAGTAGCTTCTTTGCTTGCACACTAGGATGGCCTGAATGAATTATATTGGATCAGATGAGTGGAGGTCCTGCTGATATCGGAGAGCCCTGTCTCTGGGAGCTGAGTGGAGGGTGTTATCAACGTGCCAAGAGAAAAGAAAATAATGAAGAGAACATCAATGCCACATTAAATTCAAAATATATTTAAAAGAACAAACTATGGTATTCACAATTTTATGCACAATCCAATCCTATTTCCTGCCCTTCTTTGTATATGGCATTATTCGTGTTTTTGATGATTTTCTCGCTCACAATGAAAGAAGCCAAGCTCATCACCACCTGGCACCAGCCTACATTTCCTGCCTTAGTATACACAATGCCCTTTCATACACTCTTTGGTCCAGCCACGTTGGCCTTTTTCACAGTTGCTTGCACGCAACACTCCAAGCTCTTGTCTCTGTCTTTGTGTAGGCTCTCCCTCATGCCTGGAATGCACCCCTTCCTTGTCTTTATCTCTTAGAATCCCTAGGGTCCTTCAAGACAACCCAAGTGCCAACCTACATCAATTCCTTCTCAAGTTTTCCATGGCTAGTGCCCTACCTCTGTCTCCCAATCACCTTGTATTTATCCTATGGAAATGTTATACATATTTATGTTGGTGGATAACATATCTATTTCCTCCCCTGGTGGAATGTGAGCTCCTTGAAGGAAGGGACTTTATTGTTTTTGTCTTTGCATCGCTGGCATCTAGCATGGTCCTAAACTCTTAATGAATTCATGTTTGATTGATGAATGTATTGGCAAGCTCCACTAAAACTTGTTTTCTACTGTCCTAGCCTTATTATTTTCTTAACATCTGAAAGGATATTTGCTGCTATTGTTTTTCGAGGAAGAAGCATTTTAAATAATTGCAGTTATAGATGCATAAAATTTCAATACTGGGATCTTAAAAACTATTTCATCACTCTCATTTGACAATAAGAAAACTGAAGTCTAGATAAATGATTTGCCCAAGGACTAGAAGCAGATGTCATGGCTGCCCATTCCAGTGTTTCTTACGAAGATGATGGACAAGACAGATTGTTTTGAGAGGGTACTTTACTCCCAGAGAAACTAGGCACTTTGGGGGAGACACCTACTAGACTAAATCGTTAATGGGCCCACTAGCACTATAGTGTCTTGAATGAATTAACGGTCCTAATCAAGAAGCTAATTTATTGCCAGGAACTAATTGGTGGGCCAGAGAACACAATTCAGTAGACATTTGGATTGTTTTAAACGAATTCCCTTATATACTTTGAAAAAAATCCTTTGGGATGATGCTTGGGAAAGAGTAATTTATAATGGGAAACCTTTTCAAACAAAAGTTTTATAAGCAAGCAAATTTTCCTTAGCAGCATGGAAAGGAAAGGAAAGGAAAGGAAAGGAAAGGAAAGGAAAGGAAAGGAAAGGAAAGGAAAGGAAAGGAAAGGAAAGGAAAGGAAAGGAAAGGAAAGGAAAGGAAAGGAAAGGAAAGGAAAGGAAAGGAAAGGAAAGGAAAGGAAGGAAAGGAAAGGAAAGGAAGGAAAGGAAAGGAAAGGAAGGAAAGGAAAGGAAAGGAAGCAAGGAAGGAAGGAAGGAAGAAAGGAAGGAAGGAAAGAAGGAAGGAAGGAAGGAAGGAAGGAAGGAAGGAAGGAAGGAAGGAAGGAAGGAAAGAAGGAAGGAAAGAAGGAAAAGAAAGGAAGGAAGGAAGGAAAGAGGGAAGGAAGGATGGAAAGAAGGAAGGAAGGAAGGAAGGAAGGAAGGAAGGAAGGAAGGAAGGAAGGAAGGAAGGAAGGAAGGAAGGAAGGAAAAAAGATATAATCTTTGCCTAGCAGGAATGTATTTTCAAAATAAATACAGTTTATAGCTATTGTGCCTGTTGTGAGCCCCTTAAACTATTATGATCACTCTTTTTAATTTTTTCTATCATTACCTTTAAAATACTTTAGTTGCTTAAAAAATACATGTTTCAAAACTTTCCCTGTTGTTGAGATGTACCCATCTTCTGTGTAAAGATCTCTAGTGTGTCCCTCTGAAGACCTATCAACTGGATGCATATTTTAGTAGAAAGCATCCTGGTTTGGAATGTGGAAGATGGCTTCTAATCCTAGAATGGCCATTAACTCAATGGATAAATCAATCAACCAATCAGAATTTATTATGAGTTTCCTATGTCCCAGGCATTCTTTTAAATAA